ACTACCCTATAGGATAGAGAACTACCCCATCATAACTACCCTATAGATAGAGAACTACCCCATCATGACTACCCTATAGGATAGAGAACTACCCCATCATAACTACCCTACAAGATAGAGAACTACCACATCATAACTACCCTATAGGACAGAGAACTACCCCATCATAACTACCCTATAGATAGAGAACTACCCCATCATAACTACCCTATAGGATAGAGAACTACCCCATCATGACTACCCTACAGGATAGAGAACTACCCCATCATAACTACCCTATAGGATAGAGACTACCCCATCATAACTACCCTACAAGATAGAGAACTAATCCATCATAACTACCCTATATGACAGAGGAGAACTACCCTATAGGGTTTGCAAAGCTGTCATCTTTAAAGAACAGACTGCCGTATCTTTCTCCCACAGAACAGCTGGTAGGTTTGAACCTTCTGGTTAGCAGTCCAACACCTCACCCACAGTGCCACCAGTACTCCTTAAATGGGTTCCACAGGAGCGTACAGGGCAGGGTAAGGACGTGAGCCGATTACCATTTCAGAACGCTTACTCCAGTGACAGTACAGAAAACCTATTGGAGGGGGGCAAACACAGGAGGAGGAGAGCCTCTGATGGAGGCAAAAGGACCAATTAAGAAGCCCTTAAGCCTTTGTCCAGACGAAGACTGGCGCAGGACCACCACGCAGCATCATTCATAACAGGCAAGACGTCAGACAAACCAATGCCCATCCACCAGTGATGGGCTCAACACCACGTACGGAGCCACACCACAGCGACAATCCGCACCCCACAGGGCCGGCATGTTTGCACTGATACCCCTGGATGGTGGTGCTAAGTGACATCCCATAGGCTCCGACTCATAGAGACCCTATGTAGGCTTTCCGAGGAGCAGCTAGTGGGTTTGAACTGCCAACCTTGCGGTTAACAGTCCAGTACTTATCCTAAAGTCAACCTCATTACATGCCTATGGCTTCTGCTTCCTTTTATAAGCAAACCCATTTGGCCACGCCCCTCTCCTGGAAAACCCTCCCCTGGCTTGCCTGACGTCTGGCCCTCCTAGGCCCTCCCCTTGCATGCCTGCCCTGGACAGAGAGGACCCCACGTTCCGTTCTTTCTCTACTGACTCCTTGTACTCATGCACTTACTCTATTCTTCTTGTGAATTCCAATCGCTAGTGATAAACAAATGGATCTAAATCCATTCTCTCCAGCCCAAGACCTCCATCAACTTGCCTAATGGACAGCTGCCTTTGGAACCATCATGAACACCTCAAACTCAAGGTGTCCACAGTGGAACTCATGGTTATCCCAAGTCTCTCTGTCCTCCTCTACTCCCTCCACCCAGTGTCCTAAACTAGACCACAGAGCTCAGCCTAGACTCCTCTCTCATCCTCATTCTGAGTTATGCCTTCCTCATGAATTCATCATCTCTATCCCCATCCCATTCTCCCTGCCCTAGTCCATGGTATCAAACATCAATCTTCCTAAATGCAAATGTGATCATGAGCAACGTTCAATCACGGGAAGGGTGGCAATGAGGGCACAAACTGTTAAAAATCTCACTGCTCATCAAAATGTTGGCAGCTAGAATTCACCCAGAGGTACCTGGGAAGAAAGTCCTGACGATCTGCTTCCGTAAGGTCACAGCCTCAAAAACCATGGGGAGCAGTTCTACTCTGCACACATGGGGCCCACAAGGACTCGCAATCAACTTGTCACAGCCGTTGGCTTGGTTTGGGGTTGATGGTCAGGTAAATTCCAAGTTCTTTTGCATGACCTTCAAGACTTCCCCATCATGTATACACTCCCTGACTCTCTCACCTCAACTCCCACATCTTTGCCTGAATTCCTCACACTCTGTTCCCTGCCCACCACAGGCTACTTGTTGGCTGCCATCTCTTCACACATGCCCACACTGCGCTCTCCCCTGGATCCCGAGATACAATCAATCACCTTTAGTGATCCAGTCCAAACATCTGGAATGCTTCCCTGACTAAACCAGCTCTCCTTCCCACCCCAATGCAGCCCACCCAAAGCCACCCAACTCCTGGTGCCCCTGAACCTGGCACAGTCCTCCAATACAGCACTCCAACCATGGAGCAAGTACGGCTTCCAGGCCTACCTTTCCACAGGACTATGAGCTCCTATCATGTGATCTGTTCATTCAGGAGCTGGTCCAGGTCTTGGGATACACGGGTGAATATCCATTTGTACCTGACCTGACACCTCAGGGGCAAACTCAGAACGGAAGTGAGGTGGCAAAGGAGAAACCCACCACACCAACACTTGTCATCTTTGAGGGGAAACTCTGAGTCCTTTCTTGGAAGACCAGTGAAAGAAGAG